CTATACAATTTTTTTCCTTTTGATTTTTTACCAGGATTACTGAGATGCATCAGGACATCTTTTCTTTTTAATATGTATAAAATTTTTGGTTTTAAATGAAATGAATAAACAATTTAAACTAAACTAAAAATTAAAGGACACCTCCCACAATGCTTTGCATGGTAGGACGCATCTGCCCTTCTCCAGCAGCGCGCCTGCTGTGGTTGGTTCTGATCTGAGGTTCAGCTGAAGTGTGTCTCTGGGGACCTCACAAAGTCACGAATCTGACCTGAATCCACCAAAACATGACTCTGTTCTGTTTTCTGGATGTAAGGAGCATCTGAACACGCTGTTAGATTTATTTATTTGTTTTTTATTTTTTTCGTTTTTATGTTTAAACTCGAACGATGATGAAACTAAACCCCGGGACTGAAAATCATTTAACCTCAGACAAGAAAATAGATCAGCCTAAAAATGATCAAAGAACCTCCGGTCTACTGTAAACTGTAAAGTTTTTATACTGATTTCACCTAGTAGGATACACACGCAGAGCGCAGGCCTACGGAGCGCACATAGCTGAGGAGAATAAAATGTGTGTATCGTCTAAGAAACATTTTTAATTCTAACTGAGAAGAAAACATTGTCAACTCTGAATATATTAATTCAGAACAGCTCAGATGTGATGATTCCTCTGCTCCACAAGATGCAATATTTGCTGCGTAAAGTTGTGCGTATGGATGAGCTGTCAGCTATTCCCAGTCCCGCATCGCAGCAGAAACTCTCAGCGCTACGAGTCACTCGTTCCTTCACTTCAACAATTTAATAAATATTTTTTCTAAACTCATCAGTTCCTCTGTGTGTCATTTATTAAAGACATGTAAAGGTGGAAATGTCCGTCAGCCTCATGCTCCGCTGAAAACAGCAGCTGCATGTACACACCAACACACACACACACACCTTTGCGAGTGGCAAACTCATTTTTACACCCCACTGACAATTTTTCTCACTCATTCTCCATTTAAWGTATAATTTTCCTGCATCTAAAAATCATTTCTGATCCCACAGAGAGGACAATCTGAGCAGAATCTCACAGGCTGGACACATTTACATCTATTTTTCGTTTCCCGTCACAGATGTACCCAGAATGTATCACTTCAGTTTTCCAATAAACAGTTTTAAAATTACTTTATTGATACTTCTTTAATGAAAAATCTACAACAAACAAACAAACAAAAAGACAAAGAAGCAGCCGAACTAGCAATCCTCAACAACTTTTTAATTTTTAGACCATGAGCCAAAGGTCTGTTTGAGGAAATCAGATCGAGCCAAAGGTCTGTTTGAGGAAATCAGATCCCCGCAATCGGCGCTTGTAAAACGAGCTGTACAAGGGTTTATACACCACTAGTGGGCAGCATTGTACATATAATGTACATGAATTATAGCAATCTATAAAGTGTCAAATTGAACCTGCGCTTTAAAATTAGCTTCTGCTAAAAATTCTATTGCCTAAGCGGTTTAGAAGTTGCGGACCTAAATATTATCATAAGCGCTTTAGAAATTGCAGCGCTAATTTTTGAATTAGCGCTGCCCACCAATGCCTGTTATGACACCCACTAGTCCCACACCCTCCTGCCAATATCCTCTTGTTTACTCAACACATACAATTAGACTGAATTTGTTTTATTTTTATTTAAAAAAAAAACCTGTTTACTTCATCTACCACTATCATCCACTTTAAATTTAATTTCTTATTTTTAAATCAGTCTATCTYATCTAATAGCCATCGTTCTTCTCCTCACATTTATTCACCTCCTTTATTTGTCCTCTCCACCTTTTTTTCAAATTCACTGTTTTTCCTCTCCTCACATCAACCCCTCTTTGCCCTCGTCAGTCCCACATAACTGAATTCCCACTGCTTCTTACATCTTTTTGCACTTAGCTACAGCTTGTGTAACACAAGAGACGTGTCCTCTGAAATACTGTATAAACTGTTTTTTTTTGTTTGTTTGTTTGTTTGTTTGTTTGTTTGTTTTTTTTAAGTGGGGTCCACTTCACATCCATTCGGGCTTGTGAAAACAATGACAACTTCTCAGAAATTCTGAACCGCACAACATTTATTATCAGCCCCAGTTTTGATCTGCAACCGTGATGCAGCTGTCATTTCCTGGAAAGTATGTGTATGATTTTGGAGCGTAAATAAGTAATAAAAAAGATGCATGTCAGATATTTAGAGAAGGGCTACTTGCTGAGAAAAAAAACATTAAATATATATAAATGGTTTGTGGTTTTATATTTGAATTCCAGTAATCATTTAGACACCCTGCAACATGAGACAGGATATAAACTGATTAAGCTCAGCCTCAAAACTCCAGCAAGTTTTTGATTAAGTGTATGGTTGTTGAAACAGATTTGGATCAGCTACACTCGGCATCCCCACGTTGGAAACATTTGTTGTTCTGAGCCGTTTCCAAAAAAGAAACACAGCCTAACACTTTTCTGAGACATGACTGCTGATTAGTACATCTGAGGACACATACACAAAGTCACACACAAACAGACATACACAAACATACATGCTCTGGACCCTGTTTTCCCTGCCTGTGGCCTTATCTTTTACAGTACAATGATAGTTCAGACCTTTAAAGGCGGAGTTTTGTGCAAAGGTTATGAGCAATTAATGTCTCACCTGCTGTAGATACTTTGTTGAACAACCTCGATTAAAGGAGACACATGACGCTTTATATCCTTCTTTTTTTACATTGAAATCATCATCATCTATATAAAGTAGAACTGCAATGATTTGGTCTGAATTCCTCCTTACTGTAACTCCACAAACCCCTCTTTCACCTCTTTACTGAGGTGTGTCTCGGACCAACTCGTGTTGAGGCTGTTCTCCTGCTGTCTTTGTGGGGTCCACTCATGTTTGGTGTGGCGGTGGGGTCCTCCTGTCCCCAACCTGATTAAGCGGTGGTTGCGGGGGCAAAGGGGGGTCGGGGTGGGGACGTTAGCTGGTTTTTGCAGGTGGCCTGGCTGGCTCCCCGAGAGGCAGCCATGACTTTTACTTGCTAGCTTTATTAGCACACTGCAAGGACAGCGAGAGGGTTAAATCCAAACGAGGCGCTTCAAGCCCCGGCCCCCTCCAGCTTCCAGACTGGTTCTTTCTAGCTTATTAGAGGGGGTTACGGTTATCTAGCAGAGCAGAATTTTTTTATTTACAAACTAATTAAAGTTGTCAAAAACAGTAGATTTGTCCATCCAGTCTTACATGGTGGAACCAGAGTCTCACCCAGAGCCAGAGGAGAATGAAGACAATAAAATTGTGGTTGGTAAGTCCAGACCTTTTTGGCAATTCCATTGCGAATAATTTGACGTAATAGTTCAGAAAACATCAAAGAAAAGAGAAAAAACTGAACCGGTTTAAATATATGACCCAAACAGACTATAGAGCACTGGAAGAGACTAAATTCAACTTTTCTGCACTCCCAGAGACTCCAAGTAAGGCTTGGGCAGTATGAACATATTTTGTTATTCCATATGCATCAAAATATGGTGACGGTACATACGACATAAACATTGGAGGCTTTTTCAGAAGACACCCCATATTGCTACTAAGGGGAAGCAGAGACACCCTCATTTGTTGTGCCTCTTAACCTCTGAGTGAGATTAGTGGCAGACATGTTACTCGCCCACTCCTGAAAAGGTGGGCCGGCTGGAGCCGACTGAGAGCTTCAGGAACCACCCAACTGCAGGTTTCTTAAGTCAATCAAATAGCTGGACTCCATTTGGATTTAAACTTTGTGCTTTTTTTTTTGAGACCCATGAGCTCCTTGCTGCAGATGAGGAAATGACCACAAACTTTATTGGCACAAAGACATTCCTCACTGAAAGCATGCAGCAGTGTGTATATAGGACCATGGTAAAAGTCTGAATATTTGGAAACTTAACACCCTACAAAGACATAATTGGACTTATTTGGATCTGTTCAATCTAATAAGGGGCACAGCCATCCCGTAACTCTTCTCCTGTCCTTTCAATGCGGGACATTGTTTCAACTTGCGAAACACCAGGATAAGAGAACATCATGCTAGGATTTGGTTTTTACCTGTCTGTGAAAGTCTGCTCAGTCGTAGGTGAGGGGGCTTTACCGCTGAAAGGTGGCTGACGCTGAACCTGATACAGCAGAGGTTGGCACCCAGAACAAAGAGGGCTGCCGGGGCCAGAAGACAGCATGGCCGCATCGATTTCCATTTTCTCATCAAAGGTGCAGAGTTTAATGGCAGCTACCGCCACGTTGTGGGTGTCGAGGCGCACAGTGAGGGGCATGTCACATAAAACATGCTGTGGTCCCAGGTTGATGCTTTTCCCTGTCTCTGTAATCAGCTCAATGTTGGCTAAAGCGGGGTTGTCTGGAACAAAGTTAAAAAAGAAAAAGATCTATTATTTTATGCGCCCATATTGAATACTTTAACTGCAGCTTTGCTTCGAATTTTAGTTCAACTGTTTTATGTGATGATAAGGAACATTGATGAAGCACAGCACAACTACTGCAATACATCAAGTTTACGTTTCAATATGTCTTGTCTCAAAACCAATGCAGTGAGTTGTAAAAACAGTAATGTTAGACAAGAAGAAGTCTCTGATCTCAGTAGGGGAATCTCCAAATACCTGTTAATGTGATGTTTGGCCAACAGCACACTTCCATGGTTCAGAGAATTCACCTCGCTTGCCTCAACACACATGGTTTCAGTCTCTCAGCAATTTATTATTATCTAACTTTATCACGCATACCAGACTGAGCATGCATACTGCTGAAACTGATTTAAAACACTGTTGCAGACTGACACTCACTTAAGGAGATGTAGGTTACCCAGACTGTGAGTGCGTGAGGAATGACAGGGTGCAGGAAACTCAGCGTGAGGGTGCAGCCCTCCGTGTCGGGACAGGGCGACGTCACGTTGGTGTCGTAAAGGCTGAGCTCGGGACTCCAGGCCTGGAGACTGGGTTCACACGGCTGTTCCACATCAGGCAGCCCTGGAGTAATCCAAAACATAATAAAGACACATGTATAGGTTTTTGGGCAAGGTTTTTCATAACCTATCCATTCTATGACACTAAATAAATACATAATTTAGGTTTCACTTGCTCATGCGGTCAGAAAAATGAAGCACTCTCATACATAAGACACACACAAGAGCCTAATTCATCCTAAACGGCAGATCTTAGYGGAAACACAACAGACAAGTGCTGAAAGAAATGTTGGAACGTTCAGGGTAATAAAGTTTTGAAGGGAAAAAGGTTCAGAGTAGAGAAGTCAAACTTGGGCTAACAAGTTACTGGTGAAGTCTGAAGGACTGTCTGTCATCTGCAACAAACAAAATCCCTTTATGTCATAGGAAATATCATAAAATCATCACCTAGACTCCTTTACTATAAAACCATGCTATTGTACTTTTACACTTTTTTGAGATGTGTTGCTGTCATGAAGTTCCAAATGAACTTTTTGTTTTGTTTTTCAGATTGGTAAAATTGCATTATACCGCTTCTGTTTCATCTCAAAACGCATGAAAAATGTGGACATCAAGGATATCAAGTGATGAAGCTTTTAAAGTGTTGCACTTTTTCCATTTTTTCTAACACTGTCTATACCAGAGTTCAAACTCAGATCCTCGAGGGCTCAACACACCTGAATCGGTGATTCAATTACCTCTTCAAATTTTATAGAATCATCTACAGTATTTATGCAAATCAGGTATGTTGGAGCAGGGAAACAAGAAAACATGCTGGATAGCAGCCCTCGAGGACMAGATTTCGACACCTGTGGTCTTTACTGTCCAACAAAGATGGTAGATGTGGATTTTCCTGACCATGATACCTGTTTTAAAAGTATAATGAAACTTCATGCAGCGTTCTCTGTAAAGCATTCATCATTAATGAGAACTACCAGTTCATGGAAAACTTAGCCATTGTTTTGGGTTGTTGTTTTTTTTCCATGTCAAAATATGTGCACAGGATTGAATTTGAAAATCAATAATAGCAGGCACTGATGATGGAAGAAGGGGGTTAATTTAGGGGGAAATAGACATAAGGCCAACAATAAACGTGACCCATCGTAACAAATCAGGGATTAGGTCGAATTTGGTCAGACTAAACTATGCACATTTTCAGATTTCTGTCTTTTGAACCTAATTTTGAATTTGTAATTTGTAAGTGGAAACTTCAAATCATAAAAGAATGTCCGAATTGTTGGAATTAGAAGTAGCTTTGCTAGCTTCCCAGGTAAAGTAGCAAATATTTAAGGCCTTTCTGCTCAAAATCATTGGTGGTTGTTGGAACTGCTCAGATAGTGCTTCAAAAGATTCTTTAGGATTATTTTTTGGATATTTCCTTCATTGGACTCATAGATACGGTATTTATTCATAATATTTGACATCCAATTAACAACATTTTTTTCTACCAATGTGGTATAATCCTCTGTTCAATGTCATGTGATCACAAATATCAAGCCACATGACTGCTGAAACATTATCTATGTTACTAAAATGATATCGTTTTTAAGTTTTTGTGGAGATTTTCCAAAGAATATCAAAAAACTAAACCATGAAACCTAACAGGTATTGCTGTTTCCTTGGTCTCTCGATGGAAGAGTTGAAGAAAAACAAAACTACCACTGATTAAGTTGGTCAGTTTGCAAGATATTACCAGTCTCTACAGGCAGCTCTAAAGACATCTTTTGCATTTATAGTGGAAAGCATAGTTGAAAATGAGTGAGGAAAGCCAACGGTCAGGATGTCTTCTCCTATGTGCATACCTTTGTTTAGAGTAAGACTATAATTGACTTATTATTATCATTATGAGCAGTAATCCCCCATCCCTCTTTGCCTCTTGTTTTCAAAGCATAAATTCCAGCAAAGGATTTCCACATATTTGGGTAGAGTTTCCGTGGGAGAAAATAAAAGTGTCATTGTATTTGAATTTTTTTTTCTGCATATTCTATTTTTCTTCTTTTTTTCCCCCATTCTTTTCCACCATGTGTCTTATTTATTTGTTTGTGGTTCTTTCCACTAACCCCATTTGTCATATAAAATAAAAGACTTCCTCATGGTTCTGTTTATGAAACAAACTTTTCATTTTCATGGGGAAAAAAAATCTATGAAGACATTTTTTTTTTTCAAAAACACATTTGCAGCAACAAGTAAACAAAGTGCCTTTAGACTGACCGACTGCCTCTTCAGGTGTCCAGTAGCCCGACGTGTCACAGACGCGWGGCGAGGATGCCTGATAAGCGTACTGGTGAAATACGCCGTCTTTCTCACAGTTTTCACAGCTGATCCCAGAGCCATGAAACGAGGAGCTGGGACAGCAGAAAACAGAGCTCCTGACTACATTATACCACATGTATGTTCTAAACTCAACACTGAATCAATCAGAACAATATTACAGAAGAGGTTGAGATGAAGCTGATCATTATGTGCCTCATTTTAAGATAACTGTCACACACAAAAAAATTCAAAACCATGCTTATTTACGTAGTTAAAATTTAAAGATATGTGCTTTGTCGTTCCACTGACCAGATATACTTTACGGTTTTGAACATTTATGTATTTATCTGTTCTTGTGTATGTGAGTTTAATTGCTTGTCTGTCTGTTAAAAAAGAAAGGTAGTTTTTTTTTTCTTTATCTGAAAGGGTGAGGTGTGATGGTACGACAAGAGTATTAGGGCCACACAACGAAATTCTTTTTATTTTTTTCAAATTACGAGAATAAAGTCATAATATCACAACATTAAAGTCATATGAAAAAAGTCACTGATGATGAAGAAATAAATAAACTAAATAAACTAATAATATTTGGTTTCATTTTCTACTGAAGTGACAAAAAAGAGTCAAATGAAAATAAAGTCATAATACTATGAGAATAAAGTCGTAATATTACGAGATTAAAGTCAATATTATGAGAATAAATTTGTAATATTTTGATATTAAAGTCATAATACTCTAAAATTAAAGTCATAATACTATACCCTTTAGACAAAAAACATGCAGTTATAACTGCATTAAAATGAGGAATGATGAGCAACTTGTCAAGTTGTACTTTAGTATTGCTTAAAATAAATAGTTAATCTTTTAGCACATTTGCATCAAATTATCAGTAGCAGGACTTGGAAATTGTGCAAATGACTACAGTATATGATAAACTGAAACATGCATTGACAGATTTAGTCAGATGTAGCTAATTTGGATGAATACATATTAATCTAACAGTGATCCAAGTCATCGCGGACTACTTTATAAACATGGCTATCCGCAGAAAGTGTGAGGATAATAAGGAGGAAATGAGAAACAGAAAATGGACACGTCATGTAAGATTATGACATTTTCTTTTAACGTTATGATTTTAATCTTGTAATATTATGACTTTTTTCTCATAAAATTCCAACTTTAACCTTGCAATATTACGACTTTATTCTCATAATATTATGACTTTATTCTCGTAAAAATAATTTAAAAAATCTCGTTGTGTGGCCCTAATACTCTGTCATTGTGTTGGATCCTGTTGAACAGAGGGATAAATTTTATCCACTACCAGGCGCAATGGTGGAGCAAGGGGGTAGCCAATGGTGACCTTGGCCATCATAGATTAATCTTCCTCCACTCCAATGGCCACCCCAATCATTTGAGGAATCTATACTTTTAGACATAAAACTAGAAAGCATAGTTTCCTCAAACGACATGGCAACTCAATTTTCACCAAGGACCATTCTTGTGCCTACAATAGATGCAGCCACACCAAAATGGAGATTGGTACCTCACTTATTTGTCAAGCTCACAGACAAAGACAGACAGATGGATGGACGAAGGGTATTTCCATGTCCCCTCATTGTTCCACAATGGGGTACAACAAGACTTAAAAACTTAATCTGATTTAAATTAGTGAAATTAAAGAAATAAATCCATCATGTATCCATACCTTTGAATAAGTGGCCCCCTCATTGGTGGAAGCCAATATAATGAGACAGAATTGGCTCGTTGGTCGGTCACTATGGGGGCAAGTGGGATGGGGGTAGGTAGACGGTCCATCAGCCACTTCTGGTAGACCAGGTCAAGATAACAGTGCATCCTGGCTACTTGATTTGGAGTGAACTTGTTGGTGCAGTTGTCATCTGATGTGATGAGATGAAAAAAATGAACTCACAGCATTTATCCATGTCATGTTCTCATTTATCACTATACAGATAATACAGGATGCATTCTGCAATGCAGTGGTAAAAGGTTGGATATGAGTCATTTATTCTTTCCAACATTAGGATGAGAAGACAATGCTTATGTACCAGTATAACTCATGTAATTGCTGTAAGGAGTGTTCTGGTAGGTGACGAATCCACATGTATCATTAACAGCTCCAGGGTCATGGCAGGCTTTGGATTTGGTTGTTGGCGCTGTGTCGGCACACAGATCTCCTGTCTCCATTGACGGAGTGGTCTCCTGCAAACGCACATGACAAAATTGGCAAATGTTTGTTAATGCTAAAAGAAGACAACAGAGATTCTTAATTTAGTATAATTTACATTTTTAAACAAAACTTTATAAAAGACCAGAAAAAATACACTACATACTACTAACCATTTTTACAGGCATCAACTTTGAGTCATACCTGGCATGGGTCGTCACAGGAGTCCCGCTCACTCACCCCCTTGAAGACATGGTACAGTCCAAATATGTGTCCCATCTCATGAATCATTGTGTTTTGGTGGCCTGTTGTACCAAAGTAGGATGGGTTGAGGACCATCCCACCTAGGCAGTAAAAAAGTGGTCAGTTACTGACAATGATACAAATCAAGTACCTAAAAACCTTAAACCACAATGAGCCATTTGATTTATTATCAAAGTAAAAGCACCTTGATTCCAGCAGAACCAATACAGTAAAAAGCTTTGTAGTGAAAAAGAGTTATTATGTTTTCATTTTCAGTGTAGTGCATAAAAATGAAAAGCTCCCATTATGATCTAATAACTGATTTGTAAACAGGAAATAATGTTGTGAAACTGTAATGTCGTGAGGAAAACATCTGGTGAAAAATTAAATTAAGCTGTTGATTGCTAAGTTAAATAATAACTGATGACAGAACTGCAATAGATTTGCAAAAATTGCTGTGTAAAACTATCAAATAAACCTTTTTCATTTCACATAAAAATACCTAAAAGTATTAAAAGTGCACCTATTGTGTTTTATGCAATGTTTGCAGAAAGCTGCTCAATGTGAAGATTTGTTTCTATATGTCCAGTTCATTAGCAATAAATGAATTGCAAATATATATATATATATCTATATATATATATGATCTGACAAAAATACAAAAAATAAAAATAAACATTTCTTTAAATCTTCTATCTTTGCAGGGCAGGTTCAGGTTATTCCTCCTTATTTAAGCATTGATTATGTCTATGGAAAACTGAGGTATAAGCTGTGGTATATGCTGTATATTCAGTACGTCACACTTCCAAACCTTGTTTAAGTGGAACTAACCTTGGTGTGTACGAGCCTCCTTTGCCCACGGCCAGGTCGCTGCTCCTGCCAACTCTTCACGCACTGAGTTGCTTGCAAAAAAAACATTGAGCGTGTCGCTGCTGCTCAGGTTTAGTTCCTCCTTTAGTTCTTTCACACTCATGTATGCTCTGCAGAATTCAAGAGAAAAGAAGACTTTCAAAAATCAGAACACCACTAAAGTAATTTTGCACCTAATAACTATTTGTACATTTGTCTTGTCTTGCAGCAAAAGAATAGAATTGTAAAATACAAAACAATACAAAAGAAATTTAGAAGTTTCATCATCTACAGTTCATAATATCATCAAAAGATTCAGAGAATCTGGACAGATCTGCAAGTAAGCGGCAAGGATGAAAACCAACATTGAATGCCCGTGACCTTTAATCCCTCAAGCAGCACTGCATGAAAAGTCAACATCAATCTCTAACAGTTATTACCATATGGTAATACTTCAGAAAACCATTGTCAGTGAACACAGTTCATTGCTACATCTACAAGTGCAAGTTAAAGCTCTACCATGCACAGCCAAAGTTCTGTGGACTTGTTTTGTCTGACAAGTCCACATTTCAAATTGTTTTTGTAAATCATACAAGCTGTGTTCTCCAAACCAAAGAGGAGAACGACTCTCTGATGGTATGGGGGGTGTTAGTCTCCATCGCATGAGTAACTTACACATCTATGAAGAAACTGTTAATGCTGAAAGGTACATACAGGTTTTTGAGCAACATATGTTTCCATCTATCAAAAATGATAGATGTACAAAAACGAAAAAAGTACCTCTAAAGTGCAAAACCAAAGGTCTCTACAGAGTACAGTTTGGCACCTTTTTTTAATGTTTCTTGACACTCAATTGATTTCCATTCAACTCAGCTTGATGCTTTTAAATTATAGTTTACAAACAAAAAAAGTAACTTCCAGGTGATTTAATGGGTAAAAGGAGTATTTACATCAAATGTGTTCTTCATCTTTTTAGAAGAATACTTTGCTAGAAAAAGGTGTGTGAAATTTTAAAAACAAAATAAAAATATGTATATAAATGTATTTGTATTATACTGACCTAACTCTTTCTCATAAGCTTCCTCACTCATCTCAGCAGTTACCTTACTAAAGCTGTTGAAATTTAAACTTAACTCATTGACTAATTTATAATAAATTGTGCCATTTTGCATTACAATGCAGATCTATTAAAAACATGTGTATTTAGCTTATGTGCAGTCCTAGGAGAAAACATCTTGACGTTACCTTCACTGTTTGAGAGAGAAAAGCTGTTTTCATCAAGATCAGAAAAGTAACAAGTTCATTAAACAAAATACAGTATGATGGTGATCAAATACGTTAACGGACAATATTTCCACTTAAAACTATGCAAATTAGTCTCTAGACAGCAGACTTAAATGATAGTTTGCATCAACCCATCAACATCTACCATTGTCTGAACAGAATTTTAAATCATAGCTGTTTGAGACTGCTAAAATCTCCACACAGCACACAACTGCCACAACTTTCTCTAGTCATTAGGGGGAAAAATGATCCCAAGAGGACTTTGATGTGTGAAGTAGAATTTGTTTTTCTCTTTGGCTGGGTGATGTCACATGCCATTTTTCTTCTTTTGCTTTTATAGCTGGAAACCTGCTGCTGGGTTTCACCATCTGCCCTAACCCCTGCATGCTTTACAGTTTAGGGTTTTAGTTGAGTCTCGCATGGATTTTCAAAGTGTCACATCAAAAATAATAAAAGTTTTTAAAAATGGTTGTTTTGAACAATAAGCACAGAGTCTTCCGCTCATGTGTCAGTGCAGCACAAGGTCGGATTACCTCACATTCAGAAAAATGCATTCCGGTAAATGTATGAATCATCTTGTTTGTGAGGTTTTGTTTTGTTTTTTTCACAGTGACAAAGTTCTGGACTATAAAGCAGATTTTTGTTCTTTTATAACATTTTTTATAACAGTATTGTATCATGTTGTATTTATGAGAGGAGGAAGTTAAAGTTAAAGTGACTGATCAAGTTCAGATGTGGGAATAATGCTGGTAAAACTACAAACCTTTAACCTAATCGCTGTGTTTGGATATTATGCTTCCTGTCAAAGTTATGCTTTTGATTAGGCTACCCTAAGGGGAATACGGTTATTAACATTACTTAAGAATTTTTACGTCTTAAAAGGTTTAAACTCAGTTTTTCCCCTTAACATAACATGTAACATAACATTCAAAGTCAGTTTCAGGATTAAGTAGGTGCTGTTTATTATGCTCCAAACAATCCAAGACACAGGCAGATATTACCTGCAAAACAACAAGGAAGATAAAGGCCACGCATTTCTTGAAGTAATGAATATTACCTGAGTTTTAAACTTAGATCAGCTTGTACTGAGAAATGACGGAGTTCTAACTAAATTGGTCAAACCTTGTGCAATCCCATGCAACATTGGAACATGTCAAATTCAAAATATGTTTTGTTAACAATGCTCAGCTACAGCTACATCAAATTTTACTTCAATAACTGTATATATATA